GTGCCCTGTAAAGCCGTGTCTTAACAGTGACTGCTTGGAGGGGAAGGTAAGGTGATACCATGGACGGGAAGAACATCCACATCTTTGTTACCTGAGTTCTGCTGAGCAGCAAAGTGTCATTTCCTTCTAAAAAGAAAAGAGCACCTGGATAAAGAGTGTCCGAGACTGGAACAGGCTGCCCAGGGAAGTGGTGGAACCACTATCTTTGGATGTATTTAAAAGCCATCTAGATGGGGTGCTCAGGGATGTGGTTCAGAAGTGGGCATGGTGAAGTTAGATAACGGTTGGACTTGATGATCTTAGAGGTCCCCTCCAACCCAATACATTCTGTGATTCTCTAATTCTATAAAAAGGTTTCTGTTGGAGATGTTCTTAAGCATGAGAAGTGGTGTGGTGAAAGGGCAACACGTGTGTTCTACAGAGAGCTTGGGCTGAGTTGGGATAGAAGTGCAGAATAAATCTGTTGGAGAAAGAGGGAAGCTGCAGCAGCTGACTGGAAGGTTGTCCGGGATGCCTGCTCTGCCGTGCTCATTAAGTTGAAATCCAAGTGCAGTTTTCACTGCCAAGTATTTAATTTTAGTATTAATTTACATAGCTAATACACGTTCTGGTTTTACCCAGGGCGGGAGCTACAAAACTTTACATGACCTGCATTCTTAACTTTCATTTTTATTAATAGATGTGGAAGTAAACCATTATTTATAGTCTCACAAATCTATAAAGGAATGCAAGATAGATTAGGAGGGATTTGTGCTTGTTCTGCTGGCAGCTGTTGATTCCTTTAAATTGCAGTCTGGGAGTTTAAAAACCAGCACACGCTTTCCCGGATGCGGAGCTTATTTTCGGGTAAATAACTGCTAAGGAGCAGATAGAGGCAGTGGGGAGGCTGTAGAGGGTGCGAGGCAGTAGTGCGTCAAGGTCAAACAGAAGGAGGCACACAGGACAAACTGGCACACGCTTTCTGGCTTAAAGTCCTCATCTGGAGCTCTGTGGTCCTCGCTCACTCTGGCTCGTTGTGTTGATGTCACCAAGGTTTGGGCTGAGCTTTCTCAGGCGGTGTGTTTTGGAAGTTAGGGGTTTTTTTCTTTTATGAAGACCATGCGAAAATGTGTCCAGGAATAAAAACTGAAAACAGTTGGTGTTGGATATGTGCTATAATGGATGGAAAACTGTATTTTGAAGTCCAGAAATTACCTGTTGCATTTCCTTTTTGTTGATATTACAATGTTTATTTTACTAAAACTAAACTTGGTTGTGTCCCTTTTCTCTGGAACCGTAGAATTGAACTCGCTCTGATTACCTGCTCCTGCCGCCTCTTCTGCGTGTCGGAAATCCGCTCACATCTCAAGCATTTTAGCCAGATCTGATTTCACTGGTGTTTGCAATAGAGGGGAAATGTTTTAAAGCTCACTAAAGGAGGTGAGGTGTCTTTAATGAGCAAGCCTGGGAAGCATAGCCCTTTAGGAAGGTGTTTCGTCAGCAGGCAGTTGATGGAGCAAAGTGCTGAGCTGGACATCGGGAAGAGCTCTGGCCTGCAGAATGGCAATGGCTTCTTTACAGAAGGAAGCCTTTAGGATACATGGTCAGTTACTCCTGTTGGAATATTGATTACTCCTAGCACAACACAAACTTCTGTTTAACGACAGTGCTCCGCCTTTACAGGATGTAAACCAGCACAGGCTTTGCTGTCTGCTGTCCCCCCTCACAATTTTGGTGTTGCTCATCCCACAAGATAATTTCAGAACGTTTTTCCAATTATGAAAATGCCTTTTTTGTTCCCCTTCCTGCCAGCCCCTGAGTTTACTTTTTGTGTGTGTTCTTTTCGTTTCAGGCACTCAAGGAGTCGCGCCGCCCCCGCCAGCCCCGGTTGTTGGGTTGCAGACTCCATCCACCGGCCTCTTGGGTGCCCGGCCTGGTTTGATCCCACTCCAGCGACCGCCAGTAATGCCACCCCCTCCGCTGCAGCGGTTTCCCTTGATGCCACCGCGACACATGCCTCCCCACATGATGCACAGAGGGCCCCCGCCGGGGCCGGGAGGCTTTGGGATGCCTCCCCCCCATGGGATGAAAACCCCCTTCCCACCACCGGGTCACTTTGTGAGACCTGGAGGGATGCCGGGAAGCGGGGGGCCAGGCGGACCTGAGGATAACAGAGACGGGAGGCAGTTTAGGAATGACAGGCAGACGTTCACGTCTAACAGAGACCAGGAAAGGTTCGGAAGGAGATCTTTTGGAAATCGGGTAGAAAACGATCGTGAGCGCTACGGTAACCGCAACGACGACCGCGATCACGAGCGAGTTGGTAATCGTGACAGGCGAGACTGGGGACGACGAAGCCCTGAGCGTGACAGACACAGGGACTTGGAGGACAGAAACAGGCGGTCGAGTGGCCATCGAGACAGAGAGAGAGATTCACGGGACAGGGAGTCTCGCAGAGACAAGGAAGAAAACCGAGGGAAGGAAAAGCCGGAGCTGACAGACAGGGCAGACGGCGACAAAAACCACGAGTCTCACGGCAAAGCGGAAGACGCAGACGCTGTTTCAGAACTTGCCGCAGGAGAGTCTGAACCTACGGGTGTGAAACCTGTAGAGGAGTTACCAGCCGAGGCTACCTCATCCCTGGAACAAGCGGAAAAGGAAACGGGCGCAGTGACGGAGGCTCCTCGCTAGGGACTGGCCGTGTCCGAAAGGGGACAGGGACATTTGTTGGAGTGTAGAGCTTTAGAGTTGTACAGTTTGCTGTATTATATTTGCTTCTGCTTATATCACAGCCCCTCGGTAGTTGGTGGGGAATTGTAAGCAATTTGATTGCTTCCCTTCTATTTAAAATAGCCACAACATAACATGGAATACTGAAGATATGATTAAAATATTACCCATTTTTGCTGTAACTTTTTTAAAGTTTTGACTTTAAAAAGTTTACAAATCAGAAGTAGAAGTGCTTTCTATTTTTTTTTTTTAATTTAAGAAAAGGTAACGGTGAAAGCTCCTCAAAACAATAGGGATGTGTTTTTAATAAACTCTATTTTCGTAACAAACTTTAACGTGTGCTATTCTTCCTACACTGCACTGAAGTGGAAAAGGAGTGTTCAAGAGCTTAAAGTTTGAACTGTTAATGCTGTACGGGAGTCTAAATTAGACTTGTGTTTATATTTGTTAAAAGAAATACATCTGTTTGTGTAGCTATTCACAGAAGCGAAATTTTATTTGTAATAGTCACCTTGATTTTTAGATTGCTGCATTTTAACGATTACTTGACCATAGTAGGGAAAAGTTAGTGCTTTTACAATGTTAATTGAAGAGTTCACTGTTTAGTGTTTGCAATGCAATCTTTTTTTTTTTCTTTTCTTTCCTTTTTTTCCCCTCCCAACAACTGGTTCTGTGGTAAATGTTGCCCTGATTTGCCTTTTTAAAAGAAGTGGACACCTGCAGCCATACTGAATCTGCTCTGCTTGTAATGCCTAAAATGACTGTGTGCGGTGGGCTGAGAAAGCACACCCGTTCAGCATCTTTTTTGTACTGGGTATTCAGTGATGCTTTTTTTTGGAAAGTGGGATGAATGAAATCGGAGATGCCAAAACCCAAGAGCAAATGCTAACCTATTTTTTTTAACTGGGGACTGGGAAAAGGAAGGGAGGCGGGAGGGCGCGCCAGGATTTTGAAACGCTGCCTCTTCCCTCTCGCGAGCCTGGGCTGCCACTGTTGTCTGTGCATAGGATGGCTACCTCCTGTAATCCTGCAAGAGGTAGGTTTATAAGTTTCACCCACCGGTGTTTCACCTGTTGGACTGATGGGCAGAGAGCATTTTCTTGTGTAAGTTTTCCCATCTTCTCTCCAGCTCACTTAAGTGACGTTAAGAGGGCAAATGCTAATTCTTGGTGGTCAGCCCTTCAGGCGCAGCTTTGGAGGAGGCCTGTGCCATACTGAGCGGAGTCGGAGCCCTGCAACACGCTCGCTTGTCGCTCAGCCACACACCGGGCTGCTGCTTGGAGCCTGTTAAACGCTAGAAGTGTAGTGGGAAAATTGTCTGAATCCTGTGCATATTTAATTTTATTTTTTTTTCTCCTTGATATAGGTGTGTTCTACTATGAAAGTTGGGGTTTTTCCCTAAGCGAAGGGCAGCTGCTTTCTGACATCAGTACTTTTCCATAGCTGCTCTGCGGCAGAGGGATTTTTTTTTTTTCTGGGGGATGGAGTGGGGTGGGAAAAACAAATGTGGAATTCTGGACGGGGAGAGGACATATATTTTTATGTTCTTGCAATAGCAGAATAAAGAGAGAAAAAAACTGTTTACATACTTGTAGTGAACTCAGCTTCCATGTGTTGAAAACCTGTGTCCTTAATGTTTGTTTCATGCTGTGCCAGTGGAACTATTTTCATACAAAGCCAGACATTTATGTCTTATGTTTAAGACTCGTCTTAGTACAAACTGCCACAATTCTTTAAGGAGGTAGGATTTTTTTTATGAATACGCTTTATTAAAAGATCTGAAGACAAGAACGAAAGACATGGAAGGTTTATCTGTTGTTCACACAAATGCCACCTCACGTTCTCTCCCTTTTCCCTTTCTAGGAAATTGAAAGAAAGCCTAGGAAAGCCTTGGATGTCTTTTCCGGAACAGTTCCTTACTGCCTTCCGAAGCAGTGAGTGTATAATAAACCTACTAGGGATGCCTCATATCCACAGCATCACCAGAGTAACTGTGTGCCCTACCCTTGAGCAACTACCAAACTTCTGGCTTTAAGAAACACAAGCCAGAAATTTGTACTGAAAGATTAATTAGCTCAGTGTAAGCCTCCAGCACTGATAAAGACGCTACAGCGTTGGCAATTAACAAACACCGTGGTCGCTGAGCCCATGCGATGGTTTGTAAGTAAAGTGAGCATTACTGACGCGCCCTTGGATGCAGCACTGCCTCCCAGGCTCGCGTGCCATCAGACATCGAACCCAGCTACAGAAAGCGGGTTTGAACCACCACCTCTGCACACACCAGCCTTCAGAGCAGCAGGGCTCAGCACTGAGAGCAGCTGGGAGAGGAGGCAGCAGAGCTGACAGAACCCTCGTTCCGCTACAGCTCAGCCTACAGTTGCCCAGCACTTGCTGGTTTTTCTCCTTAGGGGAAGGGGAGGTGACATAACCATCCTCTGAACTTCTGAAATGCAAAGAGGTGATGGTGGCATTTGTGGGTGTTCAGTGTTTGCATCCCCTGATGCTTAAGGAGGGAAACTGAAGGGTGCAGGCACTATCCTAATTGGGCTGCAGCAGCTGACTCAGCATAGCCTAACCCACTGGAAGAGGTACAGGTGGGTAGAGACTACACACAATTGTTTGCCATCTGCAGCAAATATTAAGTTTAAAAGTGGTTTTCCAGTATTCTTGCTATCCTACCAAAAGTAATTCCATTTGTAACTGCTGCACTGGAATCTGGGTGTCTAGAACTACAACCAACTTCTTCCATGAATATCTCTTATGTACAAGATAAAGGAATGCTGATACAAGTCTTCATTAAAATCAGTAATTTTCTCTATTAACAGACTTGGAAATCTCTGTTTAAGAGGTACACACAAGAATGTAATGAAAGCTGGCACTAGCACACAGCAATTACACTGCTGAAAAGCTTTATGAAATTAAACATGGAACTTCTGGCTATGCCCATGCTGTTGAAGGAAAAGCCTACTCCACACTAGACACTCCTGCGTAACGTGAAGCAAGCCGTTGTCTTCACAGGCACATCCAGGCTCTTGGTGCACACCAGCCCTTCTCTCTCTCACAGGAGCTTCCTGCACCTGCCCACAACTACCCACCCCACACAGCCGGAGGTCCAGACCAGGCACAAGGACACATGGGTGGAACCAGACCATTCTCCATGCCTGGGGCTTCCCCACCACACACATTTCACAGTCACACGTGAGTGTCACACACCATTACGTTTCACAGCAAGAAGGTATTTCTGCAGAGTAGCAACTGTACATAAGACCCCCAGCTGCGAGGTGCAGAAGGTGTCAGGTTATCACCACAGAACATGGGGTTGTGTCACAGGAAAACACATGGCAACACAAGCAACCAGAAAGATGCTGTCTGAGCTTGGGGGGCAGGAAGCAACTTGTTGGATGCAGTTGATATCTAGTAATTCACTGCCATCGTTAGTGTGGTATTTTCCATATTAGCAAGCCAGCAGGTAGGGTGTCTGGGGTTCTTTTATAGACAGTAAGACCAAGGTGTGTTTGCCCAGCACATTTATTACACACGTTTGAAACCTACAAATGGTGTAACTTTGCCAGGAGGAAGCCCTGATACATACAGTGCCTGCTGCTCTTCAGTGAGTAGCATTGCCAAACCCCATAAGGCCAATCCTCCAAATCACACCATGTACTAGAAGCTGTGGTGCTCAGGACATGACCGCGACTACACATCTTCCAATCCACAGAACGGGGGTTGCAGTTAGTGAAATTATACTGAATGGTTACAGCAGATGCTTCAGCAGAAGACTACAGAGACATTCTATCAGGGTCACTTTAATTGCAATGTACATCATACAAAATTAAGTCAGTCTTCACCAGTTTAAGTGATACTCAGAATGCAGAGTAATAATGAGATTAAGTGATAAATCTTTTGCTTGCACAAAGAGGGGCAAGTACAGCATTTGCAATGAAATACAGCCCATTCATCACTTAAGCATTTTGGGCACAATACTTAGCTCTTTGCTATTCCAATGACACCACAAGCTAAACGAGGTCCAGCATTTCCAGTTAATTTGCTCTCATTGTCTCCCCCTCTACCCAGGTCATCAGGTTTTTCATGGACCTAAAAGAGAATTGAAGACGCCTTAATTCATGTTATTGCATAACTAATCAACATTTTTCACTACTCACATTAGTAGCTGCAGTATTGCCAGCTACCAGCAGGGTATGCTACACAGAGAACCTATTGTAACTACATAATGCTGAATGCCAAACTGACTCAAAACCCGAGACCAGACTTGCCTAAAAACGTAAGTTGCTTTTGGCTGAACTTGTTGGAACTGGAAGTCACCAAAACACCACATTTCAAAAAGTCACGACCGCTCCAAGAGCAAGATCGTACTTGACATTCAAGGTCACCCTCACAACACAGCACAAGGCTGCACTGAGGGTGCAGTGCCTTGGCTGCACCACCCAAAATACTGCACCTAGCACCCTGCTCCTTGGCCATCAGTCCAAGCCTCTTTTGTGCAGGAGCAGAGTGATCTCAGCACGCACTGGGGTCTCAGGGGAAACAAAACTGACAATTCTCATGGGTGGCCAAGTCCACTCAGCCTCTTCCCCCTTCTTTCCAAGGATGCCATGGCACAAGTTACCCCAGCAGCTGCCAGCCCAGCACTAGTGAAGTGTCCTGAAGTGCCCACTGCTGCACCTCTCAGTGACAGCATTTCTGCCAGACTGCCAGCTCCTTTCTCCAGTCAGGTTTGCTTTAGTCACTCACAGCTGGAAGAGGCAAGGCTGAGTGGAGTGGAATATGGTCAGGAAGGCAGGAAGAAAATGAAGACCTCATGGCAGCAAAGTCCCATACTAATACACAGAGGACTTTCAGGTACAGCTTCAAATACCTCCCCACACTGGAAACCCTGCACTACAAATTCTGTAACACCAGGGACTGGTCTGCAGAAAGTCTCCACTCACCAACAGGACTGCTCTACAGTTCTTAGGGTATCTTGAGACTGCATCTGGAATACTGTGTCCAGTTCTGGGCCCCTCAGTTCAAGAAGGACAGGGAACTGCTGGAGAGAGTCCAGCATAGGGCTACGAAGATGATCAAGGGAGTGGAGCATCTCCCTTATGCAGAAAGGCTGAGGGAGCTGGGTCTCTTTAGTTTGCAGAAGAGGAGACTGAGGGGAGACCTCATTCATGTTTATAAATATACAAAGGGTGAGTGTCACGAGGATGGAGCCAGGCTCTTCTCGGTGACAAACAATGATAAGACAAGGGGTAACGGACACAAGCTGGAACACAGGAGGTTCCACTTAAATTTGAGAAGAAACTTCTTCTCAGTGAGGGTGACAGAGCACTGGACCAGGCTGCCCAGAGAGGTTGTGGAGTCTCCTTCTCTGGAGACATTCAAAACCCGCCTGGACGCCTTCCTGTGCAACCTCATCTAGGTGTTCCTGCTCCGGCAGGGGGATTGGACTGGATGATCTTTTGAGGTCCCTTCCAATCCCTAACGTTCTGTGATTCTGTGATCTCAGTAGGCACCAAGACACTTACCACCATGGTACGGCCGATGATGTTATGTGGTCCGCTAAGAGAAATGACACAATCTTCTATGTCCACTTCTGCCACTCCTCCTTTGGCAGTCACATTGCCAAGGTCTCCCACATGCCTATACAAACACGCAGAGAAACTCACAGGAAGCTTGGTTAAATTGAAAGACCCAGTGATGGCCTGGACAATACAATACCCATAGTTACTATGCTCAAGTGCTCCACCACCTTATCTTAACGAGCACATGTGCCCTCTTTAACACTTCCACTATTCTAACTCCTTTAGCTCAAGAGATTATTAAAATTCAGGCCTAGGTAGAACTTGAAAGCAGACGATTAATCAACTTTGGGGAAAGGAATGGCAATAGTCCCTAGCAAGCCAAGAGTGCACAACTCTCACAGATAAGAATCCCTCCATGCTTACAGCATTTCTCTCTGCTCAGAGAGTCTCTCAAATCAGGTGGAATAACTTTTCCTGCACATACAAGGTTTGGTGCAAACACTGCCACTACTCTTATAGAGCTTTTAATGTGTATCACACCTGAGCTATTCCACAAGCAGCTGCAGGCTTTCGGGTTAAATAGGATTAGTAAAAGCAGTTCATTAAGTGACAGGTCAAATGGGATGCCTTAAGTGCTGGCTAAGTGCTAATCAGTACCAAGGATGACTATTTGAGTTTGATTGGGATTTTCCTGTACTCTTGGCATTACTCTACCATACAGTGTTGATCAGAGCTAGTTCTCCACTAGGGCTTCCCTTAAGAATTAAGCCCCAAGCAGTTCAGTTTTCACTGAACCTCTGGACATCCCAACACATTCTCTCCTACACATCTGCCCCAAATAAACCACTTGCTCAAAAGACAAGTTGATAATGTTCTACAAGACTCTTCTAGCCAGATTCAGAGCCTTGAATATCAACCAATTTCTAAAACTCTCCATGCACGTAGAGTGGCCAGCTCAGCCTGCTGAATGCTGACTACCAGCTTCTTGGACAGCAGAGAGCCAATTTCCTATTTTTAACAAGTTCTACAAAATCAGGTCAAGGGCAGTTTTTCCTTTAGGAATTTGCTTGATTTAAGCTCCCAGGAAGCTTCAAGTCCAATTGTATCAACTCTACACTGACAAAAGCATGATCTAGCTCTTATATCCTAAGGACTCCCCCAGCCTACAGCTGCCTGAGCATGCAGGTTACACTAAAAAAGCAGGTTTTGCCAAAGCAGAACCAGCAGAAGCAATGATGCTCATGCAATAGTGACCTTTAGCACTGGAGCAGTTGGCTGCCAGCGAAGCCCGTGAGCACACCATTTCATGCTCAGCCATCCAGAGAGCTGGTTAGCAGCCAGCTTGCAACTCATCACTCAGGTTATGAATTTATCAGTCACAGAAGGTGCAGTCAGAGACATAAATGTGAGCATCTGAAGGCTAAACACAATCCCAAGTTGGCCCCAAAGCTGGTCCAGACCCTACATGTGCAAGACCAGCTGGCATTTTACGCTTGCTCCTAGCTCTGCTCTTTACCACACCAGCCTTCATCCCCTGTGCAGCCCCAGCCCAGTCTCCAAACCCAGCCAGCACACTACTTAAACCAGTTGCTCAGACATCAGGTCTCAAACATGAGAAAGTAGCTGGACTATGAATACTGCTTCCAGGGGAAGAACTAGGGGGAAAACTAGGTCTCAGCTCACACTGAGGCACAGAAATATTCAGCATAAGCAGCAGACCCTGTACTTACACACAGGACATATAGCTCCCAGGGGATACATACTGCAGGTAGTATAGTACCTAAGCCAACAGCTTAAGAACAGCCCAGCACACCAAATAAAAAGCCACCATGCCCAAACACACACAGCTTTTTATTCATCTTGTAGTCTGTCCTGAAGCCTCAGTGCCTTCTGTTGATGAGCCAGATTTACCACATGACAAAGCTGCACAGCTCAGCAACTGACAGTTTAGGGCCTCTCTTGTCAAAAGCTGGCCCCAAAACAGAAGCAAATCATCACTGACCAAATAAGGCTTTAACACATGAACTCCCCCCCTCATATCCTGAGGAACCTTCACTCAGTAAGAGCATTTCTTCACCTCCCCAAGCTACAATAAAACCTAAGAATATGTATCTAACAAGTCACCATACAGTTATCAGAGCCTTCATTAAGTGACTCTAGAAATCCTATTGGAATTACCAGTTTTCTTCTGGTATTGCCCTTGTATTATTCAGGAGGTAGTCAAGCATAAGCTAACACTTAGATGGTCACTGCATGGAGTAGCTACTCTGTAAGAGGCCAGGCATATTAAACTCACCTTTCTGCATCTTTTGGTCCACCATGCTGCTTGCCTTCAGGATTGAAGTGAGGACCTGCACTGGTACACCCTGAAACAGAACGCAACCATCAAGAGTAGACTTCTTTGCAGTAGTCAGTTTAAATCTGTTGCTTATATAGTACATCAAGGTAGTCCTTCTACAGCCAGAGGAAATAAAGACACTAATGATGAAATAGCTACTCTGCTATTAGATGTTCTACTTATTCTTCGAAGGCAAGTAACCTACTACATACTTACAAGTTCAATAAAGAAATCTTACCCATTCTAGAACACTCTAGGCATGGTTGAAAGCCTTATTTCTTAACATTAGATTATCACACTAAGTGCTTGATTACTGCTTGATATGTAAGATCTTGAAGACCAGCCTAAACATGTTCAAAGTATTAAACGGGAAGCAATTCCTTAGGAAATGTCATCATTTCTTGAAACAGATATTTGCAGTCATGGGACTTAAGTACACTTATACTAGTTGCTGCTGCAACACTGAAAGCTCTTTAAAGCTGAGCAATGACATTACAGCTGTAACACAAAAGTTTAAATGGACATCTTACCATTAGTATTGTCCCCAAATTCATGGACATGGAAGCCATGATCTCCATCAGCCAAGCCAGTGAGTCTTCCATTAACTTTTACTGGTCCAGAACCCTTTAATGGAAAGAATTTATCATCACCAAAATGACTACAGCATGAGATGGCCTTGTGTCAAGTAAAGCCTCCTACAGTCTAGAAAGCACTACAGTGTCTGCTACAAGTTCAGCTACCAAAAACAATTATGTTAACCGATTCTAATGCCACCTAAAATATACTCTATTATCAACAAGCAAAAGGATTGCTTGCTTTTGAGAATTATCACATACTTCCATTTCCAAGCACAAGTAACCCTGCATTCACTCCTCCTCTACAAATAAACACAATGACTGCATGCAGCCCCAGCTTCTGTACTGAGTATGAGCTCCATTAAGCCCTAGTCTGATAGTGGTAAACAAGCTCGGCAGAAACACTAAGGCCAGCTCCAGCACCGAGCTCAGCTGAACACCCCGAGCGGATCAGACCCAGCACCGAGCTCAGCTGAACAACCCGAGCGGATCAGAGGGACACACGCTCGCTACCCCACCCCTCTCCGCGCTGGGGCTCGAA